TCTTGAAAAACAACTGGTTTGGTAATTATAAATTTTTGCCTCAAATTTTACTGGCAGGCCATAGGCAGAGTGAAGTATGTCCAGATTATGGTCTCATCTCCAAGGATCAGTATGTAGTCCTAAAGGTGATGTGAGGGCAGGAGCTGGGTGGTCCAACAGCAATTATCTGAAGTGGCACAGTAATGTCCTACCATATTCATTAGGTTCCAAAAGGTCTGAAAACATTAGGCTTTGATTAATCAGTTTTATGTGCTGTATAAAATTTGTAGGTGGTGAATCCCTATGGAAATGTTTCAAGGAAAAGCCTTAGATTAAGTCTCCATTTACAAACTCTGAAAAAAGGCCAGGGAATGCAGTTCTGGACCACCGTTGGTCCAGTATATTTGCATCCATGTCCAAGGTGATTTACTAGGGAATTTGCAGTCTTTGATTTGCTGGCTGTTAGATGATTTACCATATGTAAGTCATAATGCATCAAATTAATAAAATAATTGATTTTTAGCAAACCAAAAGAATAGCAATCAAGAGGTAACTCAGACCTTTCTCCCTTCTCAGTATGGGCTGCCTGTAAGAAACTGTTTCAGAACACTGTGATTTATACAAAGACAACTGGGGTAAATACCTCTAAACTCAAACTAAACACTGTTTTTTCATGAACGAACTGTAATGAATGTGACTCAAGTTACAGAGTTAGTTGCAAGCAGACCTGCAATGGGAAACATATGGCAGATTGCACATGTGAGGGATCCCAGCAGGCAGTAACTGCTCAGCTGTAAGCTGTATGGGGGACAACTGTGTGTCCTGGTGAATTGTCCATGGTAAACTACCATAGTTCAATCCATTAAAAGTACTGAAAGAACAAAAAGACCCTCAGTATGTCTGAGCTCAAGAAACATTTGCACAACACTCTCAGGCACATGGTGTGATTCTTGGGGTGTCCTGTGCAAGGCCAGGAGCTGGCCTTGATGATTGTAATGGGTGCCTTCCAGCTCAGCGTATTCTATGATTCTATGTGTCCTGGACTCCCCTGCAGTAAGTCAGCCATCGTAAGTCCCTCACTTTTGGGATATGTTAGGAGCCCTACAAGTAGCTAAGGCAGCCTATGAGAGTGGGCTGGCAAACAGAAGGCAGAATAACTTCCTGGGGAGTTTTGAAAGCAACTTAGAAACAAATTTTATAGCTCAATACAAATCTGGCGAAGGAAAAAGATGTGGCTTTGTTTATAGAAGCAAGAAAAAAGCTGGCAGCAGCATTTTGTGTCCTCTGAGATCCATGTTACTGTCTCACTTCAGCACTTTCCTCCAGACAGGTGTGTACTCACAGAGTAGAAATTTCAGCAGAAGTTAGGCTTTCTCTTTCATTTGAAATTGGTATTCCCAGATCAGATAAGACAAGACTATGGGCAAAAAAAATGAAATGCTACAGAAAACTCTGGAATTTCTTACCTACCCTGCCAAGTCCAAGTGAGAGGTTTTTGATAAGGAAATTGCAATCTTTGAAACAAGTAAACAGACAGTAGAACAGAAGCAGGACTTGAGAGAGGAACCCCAGGACACTTGGAAATAATTGGTGTTTTTCACATAACGCACAGTAACATTCAAAGCAGCAAAACAATCATTAAAGACAAAAGCAGCAAGAGAGAATACAGGCATCTAATTCTCTGGTAGAATTTTTTGGGGGTAGTGATGAGAGGAAACAGGAATGGAAAGTACAAGAGAGGTTTTATCAGTGGCCTGCCTGCTTCTACATATGACCTATGGTATTCATTAAATCAATCATATAAAATGTTAATTTTCCTTTAAAATGTCAATTGTTAGGCTACATCCCTATCTCTTCCTTAAGAAGTAAAGTTAATTATGCATTATTTGTTACAAGTAGTTTGTTTATGCCATATAGAAGACATGGATTGAATAAATACCCTGGGCAAAACATTTCTTAGCACTAGTATTTTTGAATCAAAGGTTTAATTAGGGTTTGGATTAAAATCTGACTCCTCTGAAAACTATGCAAGAACTTTATGCAAGAGCACAAATAACATGTAACAAAACCATTCTCTTCCCTGTCATATACCCACAGGAAGATGTCTTTCCATAAATGGAATAAACAATACTCTGGGGATACTCAGGAATGCTTATAGTGGTTAGTTTTTAACATGATACTATAAAGCATTGTATAGGGATAATATTCTTGCAGAGTCAATGGGCATGAAAGTAAAAAGGGTTGAGTCAGGGAGAGGCAGATTTAACCATGTAAGAGGCAAATTTAAAAACCCTTGGTTATCTGGGTTATGCTGTACCTTCCTGATGCAAAATATCTGATTTACTGGACCCTCACTTCAGCAGTACTAGAAATTTTTGGTTACCGGGGTAACAAAACTCTATATGCTGGTCTTTGTAAGAGTATGATCAAAGGGACTATCCAATTTCCACCCACTGTGTGCAGGCTGCCAATTTAAATATTTACTACCCCTTGAACTGGCCAGCAAGCAACACAGCAGCAGAGAGGGGTATGAACCATATATGTACTGTCACTGGCCTGGGACATGTTCTGTTTTCTGGAAAACATATAAGAGAAATTTGAAGTGAACATGCTGTGGCTACCTTAGTAGAATAATTTACTATGTGCTCTAAAAAAACAAACATAAAAAAACCCCAACCCAACCAAAAAGCCATTTACAACTATAGTGCAGTAAGAACATTGTTCAGTAATGTCTCAGAGAACTGTCCTTGCTGTAAGTGTACACTTGAGCTGCATTGTTTCATTATAGAATAGGAATTCATTAAGCCATTAAGTATTAATTTCCTTTAAAATGCTGTTGTTCTATTATGCTCTTGTTCTAAATATGTATTTACTATCCTTTTCAACTAGGATGAAAATAACAAACTCACAAATGCCTCAATTTCCTCACCGAATCTAGCTTAGTGTTGAGAATAAGCTAGCTTCCCCCATGCTAAATACACAGATGTATTTATATTTGCTCCCAGCACTCTGTTCTCAGGATTCTAGGTATCAGTTTCGCCTCATCTTTCCAAGTCCATGCTGATTTTTGCTGCCGTTTTTGGTTTCTGTCCAATTTGTTAATATCCTTGTCGTAGCATGGTGTCCAAAACTCAACAGTAACCCAGCTGTGGCCTCACAACTCCTGTACATTTACTGTAGCAACGTAATTTCTGTGCAGATCTAATTGTAGCTCTCCTGGTAGGAGATTCACATTCAGCTCAGAAACATCTCAAATCATGCAACTGAACTTTAAAGGAATCTTAAGTACTTGGCTTTTACCTACAAGATTATGAGATTCTCAGAACTACAGGTGAGAGAAGCAGAAAACTCAGTGGCAACCACTGCTCACCTCCAGTGTTTTACTGTTTTCTTGCTGTTTTCCTTCATTTTTTCCTCTTTTTCTTTTTTCCTCTGGTGAGAGCTCATTGTATTTAACATTTTACTTCTGGCTTTCTTCTTTTGTAAAGTGCTAGAAAAAGTACTTCATAAGCATATGCTTGTTCAAACACACTTTTCCTTTATCCCTCCCCTGGAAAAAAAATTCTCCATGTTTTAAATAGCTATCTGGAAGAAGTAATACCAATGTGTTCTTCCAGCTCATTATGGAATACATCGAGCTTAGAACTGTTCCTTACAAATTTTATTTACCCTTAATGTTTTGGTAAAAACATCATTAGTAATGCTTTTGCCTTTTAGGCTATTAAATTTATGCAGTGGTTAATTGTTGTAGTGCCTGTTGCAAGGAGCTGCTTAAGGCTGTTAGCAGGAAAGCCTAAAGAGCTGGAGTTGCTTAGAAAGTTCACAACAGATAGTTGACATATTTTCGCTTGCTGTCAGCTAGTGCTCTCATAAGACCATAGACAGCACGAGCGAACGTAGGAGGAAACAATACATCTGCAGACACTGGCAGACAGCACTGCTTGCCAAATTTGGCCACAGTTCCTTTAGATAAATAATTTCTCAGTGACGTGCTGTGTTGAAATTATATAAACAGCAAAAATTACTAAGACCTGGGCCCCAGGGTCTTATGGGTTTCAAGATTTTATGCAATCAATATTCTGACATCTGCAAATATTTTTCCCTAACAGCTGATGCCAGGAACAGAGCAATATTACCATCACTTTCTATGTGCTCAAGATTTTGAATATATTGAAATAGTGTCTCTTCAGCCCCAGCCCTGGTCAGGACCTTTGCACTGTTGTAACCACCAGTTCATACCAGTTATGCAACAGGTATCAAAGCAGCAATCTTTTCTCAGAATGGCTTGTAACCTCCTATAGCAACAGCTCCATTAGCATTTCAAGAAATGTACATGGAAAAACACTGTATTACATTTCAGTCCCCAGAATTATCAAGGGGTTTAGAAAAACGTCTGCTGAACATAATGTAGCTTACTTCACACATTGCATGTACAGGGTTATTATGGTGGATTTTCCTACTTAGGACCAGACAATAGGTAGCTCCTAAGTCTGTGGTAAGACTTCCTTGACAATTAAGATACTTCCACTATAACAGTCATACACACTAGAGCTATCTGAAAAGTGTCTTCTAGACTGAGGAATTCATGCAGGAAACCAGTGTGCATGATCTTCCCCAAACAGAAGCATAGCAGAAAACCTTACCTGGCTAATTTTTGTACAGCATCTCTAGACAAGCTTCTGAAGTTATAAAACCAAATCATTTATTGAACAGATATTTTTTTAAAAATCAGTTTCCATAACAGAAATCAAACCTATGCCTGTCACACGAGACATTCGGAAGGCAGCACCTATTGAATACTGACAGTTACCCGTGGCACTAAGGAATATGGGCTATGCAAAATGAGTACTATGCATTTATTATTACTGCTTAAGTAGGAAAGGCCAGACACAAAAAAAAATGTAGTTTTAAAAGTTATGCTTTTCTTTTGATGATATAACCTCCAGCACCTGGCCTCTCCTCTAGCAACACTTCCAAAGTAATACTGTTCTCTGAAAATAGTCTGAATAAAACGAACACACTTTGTTCCATTTTCAGTCCCCCATGTACTAAACAGGAACAAAGCAGAAATATGCAAGTATGGAAAAAAGTCTCTCAAGCACTTTCTTATTTCAGTCATACCTTAAGGCAAATTTGTAAATTTTAAGGGAATATCTCGAGAATTAAGCATAGAGCTTATGAAACCCTTTTTCTTTGTTGTTTTTGATCAAAGGTAACTTTTTCAGAGAACAGGTATGCACAGCAATAACCCCTCATAAGTGTCTTAGGATAAGACCATGTTAGTGATGTTTATGTAACTTTTACATCTGCACATATTTCTTAAACTGACATTTGCAGTCTAACTGTACAAGACAAAATTTCAGTAGTTCAGAGCACAGTGTGATGTTATTTCAGTGAGTGTAAATGTTGAGGGCAACAAGGTAAAACTGCCTCAGTATCTCATTTCCACATAAAACACATGAAAGGAATAACAGAATACGGGATCTTCTCAGAGTCTTATGTCTTTAAAAAAAGGATGCAACAAAGCCTCCTTTGCAGTTACTCTTGTTGCAGGGTTTAAGTCTAGTAGCTTATCAAGTAAGTCATATGCTTCATCAGGAACCTGATCCCATCCTTTCATGTCAGTTGCCTTAATTTCCAAAGCACCATCACCTTCCTGAAAGCTTTTTTGTTGTTGAATTTGTTTCCCAAGTGCCTCAGGAGCACACGGTTTGTCTACTGCAAATGGCAAAGCTGAGTCGTTTTCAGACCCATTGGGCACTTCTCCCTGAGATCTCTTACAGCCACTGTTTGTTCCTCTCAGCTTTTCACAGAGGGTTCGCAGATTTTGAGTTGGGACAACCTGGGTACACACAACTGATTTACCTGGAGGAAAAAATTGTACAGGTAAGCCACGTTTTATTATACTTTCTATGCAGCTGTAACTTTCAAGTTTGTTTCAGAGAAATTTCATGTCTCGAAGTGTAACCAGAATGAAAAAAAACCACCTCAAACCTATCAAAGAACCAAAACCAAGCCACCCCCCCCGTCTCCATACCAGCCATGCTGTTACAGCAATAGTCCCAGCAACTCAGAAGGGTCACAGCCTCAGTTCTGCTCAGAACAAAGCAGTTTGGCTTATATGAAGTTACATAGTGCCAGGTTGTCAGCCACCCCGTACACCTGATTTTTACACCTTTGTCTGGAGAATGAACACTGATGCTGTTAGTTACACATACAGGTAGCAAGTGCTGCAGCATTTGGCCTGCAAGCAATTAGGGGAATGGTTATTTTGGTTTGTTGTGTGTTCTGTGGAGGTGATTTTCTGTTTTTTAAACAGGCTAGCTCTTGGGTTTTGGTTTTTTGTTGTTACTAGTTCTTCTTGGGGCGTGGGGGGAAAGCAAGGTTTACATCATCTAAATATTAAGTCATATTGACTTAAGCCTCCAGGACAAATTTTGCAGGAATAGAAATACTGTCTCAAGAATTCTAACCAAATGCCAGTAGAAAACATTTAGTTGGCATATTTCACCTCAAGTAGCCCTGACTTAGTGAAAGGTAGCAGACAGGTTGGAAAAACTGTGGCATGAAGCACCCCATATACACATTGTAAAAGGCAGAAAGTACAAAAACATCTTAGAAGTCTGTAAATATAGACTAGTACTTTTAGTTTTTACATGTAAAAAGTGTCATTTACTTCCAAAATGACTCTAAAACCTAAAAATATATTTATAAACACAAACAAAAAAAAATCAGATTGTAAGTCACAGCATTAAATAACATTTTCCCCTTTTCCCCATAATTAAGGTTTGCATACCAAAAGTTCTAGCAGCCTGAATGGTTTCTCTGGATCCACGGACTGTCATGATTTGTGCCAAAGCAGTTAAATCATCACTTGCTTTAAAAAATGGATACCGTCCACTGAGCAGAGAAAGGAATATTATTCCTGCAGACCACATGTCAATTGCTGCAAAGGAAAGCAAATTTAGTAATAACTAAACTCACAATTTCATCACAAACAAAATCACAACCTTCTTTTAAAAGAAATTATGATCTGAGAAGTTCCTATCAGCAACAGTTATGTTCTGACTTTAGTCACATAGATAATTACTTTAGCAAAGAGTGGAAATTACTATAATTAGAATGAAGAATAATTTCCTACTTTCATGCAGAGAGTGTGTTTTTCTTGATAAACTTAAAATGTACCAAAACAATATATAAAGTTGTTTTACCCAGGGAGATGAGATGGGTCAAATGAAATGCCTAGTTTTGATACTTCTTGAACTTTACTTCATACAAAGAAAATCATATATAAAGGTCATTAATAAAAAACAATTCACAAATTAATGCGAATCTGAAGTTTTTGGGGAATGAGGCTGTAGGCAGCACTAAGAAATTTATCTTACTACGAACTTTGTTGCTCTCTAATATGAAATCATTTGACAGTATAGGCAGTTTAAATCTAATAGGTAGAACTTATTCATCACTTTCACTCTGTTATGAAGAGTACAGAGAGTACTCTGGGGATAGATGCCAAAGCCTGATGGAAACATTAGTTACAAGAATACCTGTCTGCCATAATTTCTTTGGCTCACTAAGGTGCACATTTTGAGAGATGGTGAGGTTTAGTGAAGGAGAGAGTTTGAAGGATTCTCAGACTTTGAAGAGAAAAATTAACATTTGGGAAATAAAGACATAGTCATCCTGCTCCTCTTCAAAAAAAATAAGTAGCAAAATAGGCAGTAATTAATTTGGATGTTTTAATTAGAAATACTCAGCACAGGACTTTGATTTTTTTTTTAAAAAGTGTTAGGTTGACTTAGTTGCAAAGCCAGATTTTACGTCTTTTATTAAAAAATAAAAATCCAAGTTAATCATTTGGCACAATTCACAGCAGAAAAGTTTTCTACCTTCTGCATAGTTCCTGTAAAAAAGTTTTAATATTACTGTATCACTGCTGAAAAGATGATCTGTTTGAGGGTTTGTGCATCACCCTGAGGATGTGTTTGAGTAAGCTGAAGCAATCAAGATCAAGACCTTTGAAAAGGTTTAATTATGTAACTCTTGCTGAAATTAATAGGCATTATACATCTGAATGGCTAGTAAATCCTGGCCCTACAATTCTGGTAGACCTGTGATCATTGACAGACTCCAAGATCCTGCAGAATGACATCAAAATCATGGTTCTTTCCTATGCTTTTGTCTAGTGTTATCTAACTAGTGAGGAAAGGGGAGCAGGACAAACCAAGTGAAAGGGTAATGGACCTGTGTAGCATCAGCTTGAGAGTTTAGGTTGTATTCCCTGCACTGTGAACCTGGGTCCGATGCGCGGTGGTAGCTCTGGATAGAGTCAGCTGGATCCACCTGGTAAGTTGGTCTCAGCACAGAGACCAAAACTAGACATAAGATTGGCAGGAATACAAGGAGGTGACTCCAGCAGTCCCAGATGGAAGCGGACAAGAATATTTGTTAGTTCAAATAAAACATAATATCATAAATATTAGTATTGGTCTACCCAGTTCTAATTAAGGCCTTTGTTGAAATACTACAGGAGCTCAGCACCACTCAGACCTTTCAGGGATGTCAGTGCCACACGCAAGAGTTTCCAGATTTACCCCTATTTTCTGTAATCCTGCTCTCCATTACCCTAGAGAACAGACAACTGTCTGAAAGCATGTTTAACACCAGCATGTGTCCAAGATTTCCCAAGTATGTCTTCTTTCTGCCTAAATTCTGTCTAGACAGATTCAGGGATTGTCTAAACTTGTCCTAGATTTCAGGATGGCTTGTAGCCTATAAAGCTGGCTGTTACAGCACAGGCACAAGAACTCCAAACAAGCTGCCATACCTCTGAAATCCCAGTCATACCCACGGCACAGACATTGTTTCGAATAACAGTAAACTATCTAGGCATAAACTGATCAAATGTATTGTTAAGTCTATTTTGAGTGTGTATACACACTTTAACTACTGAAAATTGTCAACTTTCTCAAAAAGTATTCAGAAAAAAAGTGGCTAAAACCTGTTATTTTAAATCCAGCTTTTGAGGACATTTGTATTTTTTCATGAGTCAAAACTCCTAGTCATACACCAAATGTGTAATGGGTAACTTTGCTTGTATTGCCTCTCCACCCTTAGGTAGGCACAACCTCTTCCATGTTGCTTGCAACACCTAATGCATTAACCATCCCTCTGCTGTGTCCTGATATTTACCCAAACTACTGAATCTTATTAACTAGACTTTAACACTGAGAAATTAAAATTTTAGTAAGATTATGCTATTTTTACAGACTAGCTATTTAAAGCACTAGTGAAAAGAAAAAATTCTGATAAAAATCAATAAATTATGCTTTCTAGAACCCATTTGCAATTCTACCATTAATTATGCCTGCTATGACAGTAAAGTATGTGACAATCTGTCTAGAAAAGTCTACAGTATGTCCTTTCCCCAAGATTTATTCAAGATCTTTCTTGAATAAATAAGCCAAAAAACTTGATAAAAATTATGGCTTTTTTTAAAAAATATATTATATTCCACTCCTGTGTGTGGCCCTAACCCTCAAATGAATAAAGATATATTCGAGTTTCAAACACAAGAAAAATATTCATGACTTGTTCTTCCTCCTAATAATAAACTTTTAATTAAAATCAGGAAATGCTTGATAAGGGTTAGAAGGGATGAAAAAATTAATTTCACATGTTAAAAAATCCTCCAATAAAAAAAAGACAACAAAATATGCATAAATTAGAAGGATCAAAAGGTGAGAAAAGGCATTTGTTTTGGTTCGTTGTGCAGTACCTGTGGTCTGAGTGGGGCACTTTGTTAACACTTCTGGTGCTCTGAATCCAGGTGTTCCTGCCCTGGGAGCAACTTGCTGAGGCCTTGTAATAAGAAGTAAACATATTCAGAATATAAATGTTGATAAATAAGTTCTAATAACACTTAATATTATTTTTAGAATATATTTATGTAAGATGTGTAAACAGCCTAACCCTACTTTATTCAAGTTTTATAGAACTTTGAAGCATCTTATCTAGCATGACATTATGTTGCATAAGGCCATAGCCTTATTATATTATCTATTATATTTTTATTGTATTATCTAGCATAAGATAGTACCAGAGAAATACTTACTGCATACTTAATTCACAATGACCTTTTCCAGTTTCATCCAAGAGCAGCATAATGTTCGTTAAAGTCTAGTTTTCATAGGACACTTTGAAGTTGAAACTAATTCACCAAAGGCAAAAAATGCAAGAGATTCTTGAATTTATATGCTCTGGCTTTGTATTAGTCCAGAGCAAACTAAGATTAGTTCTTTCTGAGTGTTGACAAGATATTACTTGTCATTAACTAAAAGCTGTGAAATTATCATTATTTAAAAAATAATGCAGGGATAAAAGGCAATAGTATATCATAATCAAAACTAACTGCAGAGGGACGGAGTTGAACTGAGCTACTAAGATTCTCTAACAGGAGACACTGGCACAGGTTGCCCAGAAAAGCTGTGGATCCCCCTGCCTAGAAGTGTTCAAGGCCAGACTGGACGGGGCTTTGAGTAGCCTGGTCTAGTGAAAAGTGTCCCTGCCCATGGCAAGGGCTTGGAACTGGATGATCTTTAAAGTCCCTCCCAACTCAAACCATTCTGTGATTCTATTAGTTTTTTAAATTAATATAGAACAGTCATGTTTGCTTTTTATTCTACATTTCACCATTTCCAGAATCCCAACTGTTGGCATGACTTAGGCCTATAAGATAACTACTAGTGACAGATTGATGTATTGTCTTTTCTAAGTGTTGTAATTAACTCAAGCGATTTTCTACAACACATGTAGGTGAATAATTAAATACAACAAAAAATCATTAACAGAGGATCTTAGTTGCTGCAGATAGCAGTGAACCAATTATCCCACAAATTCCATGAACTACTCTTGTTTAAAAAGAGTACTCAGTTTTAAGAGTTTAAGAGATCAAATCCTATCTTTCACCTACTAAATGAACTGTCTAGTAAATCTAAGTTTCTGACTTTGTTTGACATTAGAGTGGACAATTTTACAAATTTTACAACATTATCAAAGCAAATTACCTTGAAAGGCAAACACTGCAAACTCTGTCCGTTGCGTAACAGTCACAGGGCAGGTTTAAGGGACCAGCAGCTTTCCTGGCTGCCCCATTGCTCACAGTTTTGGTAAAAATAATCTTCTTCTTTGTTACTAACTTCCTAGATGAAAAATCTATCACCTTTGCTTGTTTTATGAGCTGCAATGTAGATATTTTAGAGAAAGTGACATATTTAAAATATTAAGACTGAACCAATGCTTGTGAGCAAGAAGCTGCAATTTTAGGACAGAAGACACCAAATCTTTTTTAACAGTATCACAACATCTATAAAACAGACACTGGAACTTTCTAAATATTCTGATTTCCTCCCCTTCCCCTTCAGAAGACATTTTCCAGTGTTTACTAAAACCCAATATATATATTAGATATTCTGAAGCTGCAAGCCAAGTATTTTTCAAGTTAGTATAATGTTTCAAGAATTTTTTTGGCTCAATAAGAGAATAAGGAGTAAAGAATATGAAAAGCCACAGCAACACTCAGGCACTAACCCTAATTCTACAATAAAATACTCACTGTTGACAAAACCCTCTAATTTAGTTGGGTTTCCCCCTTGTCATATTAGACAAATGACAAAAAAATAGTTACAAGTTTTATCCTCAGCTTCATATGCAAAAGAAAAAAAAGTGGCACAAGATAAGTAGAGGGAGGTTGAGCACTGGAACAGGCTCCCCAGGGAAGTGGTCATGGCATCAAGCCTGTCTGAGTTCAAGAAGTGTTTGGACAATGCTCTCAAGACATGTAGTGTGTTTCTCAGGGTGTCCTGTGCAGGACAAGGAGTTGGACTCAATGATCCTGATAGGTCCTTTCCAACTCAGCATATTCTATGATTCTGTGATCAGTTACACAGATATAGGTACAGGAAATAAGATTAATTTAGCATCCAAACAAGATCAGCTAGGGAGACAGCTACATAACTAGTTGTTCAAGAGTTTCAAAAGGGACTGAAACAGAAATGAAAAAATCCTTAAGCCTTTGAGCAAAGGCACACTTAATAATCTGCTCGAAAACTTTTAGTTCCGCATTATCCTGGAGAGGTGTCCAGTCTTAAAGAACCACCAGTTCTATAATTTTCCAAATATGTAACAGATTGATCCTACTGATGAGTCATACTTTTACTTTTGTACTTGAGTTCTCCTGGTATGTGGAACTGTAGACATTGAAATTCCTCTCTCCAAAGACAGAGCGCTGGACAGAATGGTGCACAGAGTCCTCCTGCAATACCAACAAAAAGGACAATAAGGATCCGATCTAACACACAGTCAGCTGGATACTGACAGTTCAAAAAAAAAAAAGTGTGAAGTGACATAAAACATGAACAGCTGCATGTAAGTCATTTTCAGGCACCAGTTTACTGTGGATGAAGAAAACATGGTCTAGACAGAACAGCAAACACGCTTACAAAACGAATCACACCTCAGAAGTGCCCCAAGACAATCTGAGTGTGGTCTGTACTGCATTTGTTATGCAATAACTAAATACAGGTGAATAATTATTGGCTTGGGGAGGAGTTTCACTGTACATGTCTCTTAAAAAAGGATTTAAGGCTGTCAAATAGTAACCCGTGCTAGGGTTTCATATAGCCTTTGGCACTGTATATTAAACAGATAATGATGAAGCAAATACAGTTACATAGGAGTAGCCTCTGTGCATCCCTCTGGGGCCCTGCAAGATGTGCACACATGGCTTCTGTGCAAGTATTGCATCTCCCCCTGTTGGATGAAGGAACACATTAAACATATACAACAATATTAATGAAAGAGACTGAGAACCTTTCCTCCTCTTCCTTGTTTAATCTGTGCTTTTGAAAGTGAGCTGGACTTTCTGTCAGCTGCTTTTGAGGCTGACTGTTGAGCTATCTGTTTAGGTGCTGTGTCACTGACAGAAACCCCATTTCCCAAGGCTACAATGGGATTATTTTGCGAGCAACTTTCCTGCTGGTCTTCAGAGTGGGCAGTTTTCAGAAGTTCAATTTTCGTATCAGGGGTTCCTTGTGCCAAGCCAAAATCTACCAAGGCATACCTGAAAGACACAAATTTAGAATCAGGAGTATCTATCCATCATTTGAATTTACTATTCATTACTTGCTTACTTATCTTTCTTTCACATTTTGTTCAATATGTTGCTTATCTGTACTACTGCCAGCATCACAGTCCTGTTTTCTTCCTTTGCCTCCTATGTTCCGTCTTAACCTGTCCCCTCAATGTTTTTTACCCTCTACCACTCTTACTTCATCGTTTCTTGTCCCAAAATATTCTCAAGTGCATACTATCTTCAATGGTGTTAAAAAAATATTCCCAGCAACTGATTTCTGGGGTTTTAATCCTACAGCTACAAACCTTCAACCAACAGTCAAGTACAAGTAACTTCACTCTTGCAGGATTCCCACGGGCAGAGGACAAAAGTAGAAGTGAAGACAGACAAGACTAACAATGCCGAAATTTTTGACAGACTTCTGGCAAATACTACTGAAATTTGAGTCTTCAAACAGGTAAGACTACATTAGTTCACACTTCAGATCTGTCTTTAAAAGAATTATTCTTTGCTTCAACCAGCACAGACACAATCCACCAGTCCCTGGGACTCAAACTCAACTCCATGGCCTCCACACACAAAGCAGAGATTAAGGCTCAAACAAATGCTGGAATGTGACAAATGCTTTCACAAAGTGACAGTACCAAATTCATTTTGACAGATTTAAAAGAAAAAAAAGAAAATAGTATTTCTCAAACTTTTAAGCTTCAGGTTTGGCAAAATGCAATCAAATCTTCCCTACAAACTGTCACTACTCAGAATCACAGAAACATTTAGGCTGGAAAAGACCTCTAAAAATTGAGTCTAACTGCCAAGTCCCACAAAGCCATGTCCCTAAGCACTACATCTAAAGGTCTTTTAAATCCCTCCAGGGATAGTGACTCAACCACTTCCCTGGGCAGCCCATTCCAACCAAAAGGTTGATAAAACCTTTTGATGAAGAAATCTCTCCTAACATCCAGTGTAAACCTTCCCTGGTGAAACTTGAGGCCATTTCCTGTTATCTTATCCCTTGTTACTTAGGAAAAGAGACTGATGTGCACCCTGATAGAACCTCCTTTCAGGTAGCTGTAGAGAGCGATAAGGTCTCCCCTGAGCCTCATTTTCTCCAGGGCCAAACACCTCCAGCTCCCTCAGCTGCTCCTCATCAGACTTGTGCTCAAGACCCTTCACCAGCTTTGCTCTGGAGATGCTCCAGCACATCAGTGTCCCAACTGTACAAAGCACGGTACTCACAAATACAGCTCTAGGACTGCTGGCACTGATGCATTCTGTCCATTTCAGCTCTTCACAAAAAAGGCAGTACCTCAGTTTTTACAGTCTTTGAATATTGTAACTTGCAGGCAAAAAAGCCAACCCTACTAGTTATGAACATTAATTCAATGCAAGGTGAAAACAGCCCAAATCCAGCTATCCTACCTGTATCAGTTTTACTCTATCCACTGTTAAAAATGTACAAGTATCATTCTATGCACCACAAACTTACAGTTAGCTTTCTCTTTAAAAAAAATACTGACATAACTCTTCTTGTTCTTATTTGTAAATGTAATTTTACTGAGTAAATTTACTCAGTAGTAAAATCTTCATTTTTTCAGGTACTTGTCACTCTGTGAAGCAGATATTATCTTAAGTTAAAAAAAAAATCCTTCCCTCCTTAAATCCCTAAACACTGAAAGAAAAGTATTACAAATTAAAAAACCCACCTTTTTTAGCTTTATTACTTAAGCACGTGTTATGCAGCTGGAAGGAAAGAAGCCTAAAAGCCTAATAGGCTCTGTTCTGCCAAGGCACACATCCCCAGATGAGATCACAGTATGGCCAGACTTACTTTTTTAGCTGCCTGTTGTAGAGGAAGTTACTGGGCTTGACGTCACGGTGAACAATACCAAAGTGATGAATGCGCCTCAACGCTTTGAACAGATTAAACATGTATTCCCTCACTTCTTCGAAGGAAAGAGAATTCAGAATGTCCTGAAAGATTATTTGGATACTGTAATTCACAGAATCATAGAATAATTACAGAATAATTATGCAACTGCTCTTAATTAAATGTTTTACTACACATTAAAATAGACTCACCAAGAAGGATTCATGTTCCAGGTATGGCATAACAATAACCACATGATCATTTTTCCTAAAGCAATATTTAACTCCCATAACATTATCTTGTCCCCTAGAAGAAAAGTAATGTTACTGAAAAAAGACCAGAAGATGAATGTTTATTTTCCTTTATTTCTTAAAAAATTCAGTCAGGCTTTCTTTTATAATCCTAACTTACATCTTGACAGCAGTCTTATCAGCAATCAGTAGCTGTGCTGCTCATTGCTATGTCCCATTTGAGTTCTGCAATTTGCAATGAGGGCACCACAGATTATTTGTGGGGCCATGGTTTGTAGTTACTGCTGTAATTAAGTATAGGACCTAACCTTCACAATCCAACTACTTTAAGAAGGTGTTATTCAGCGCACTCTGGCAACAAGTATTCATTCCTAAAACCACATTTTCTAATGAAGAGATTATTTTTTTCAAAGCATTTCAGAACTGGAATTTTTGTTATCACAGAGAAACATCATGGAATTTCTCAGATGGGAAACAGAGCACCCTCTGCAAACTGAGATTAGCAGAAAAGGGCATCCATTACAGGTAAGACACTCCATTTGTTATTTGCTCTCAACAAAAAGAATTTTCATGTCTGTGGTTAAAAAAAAAGCAAGAGAAGTGCCAAAATTTAAAATAAATAAATACAGAGCAGTGAGACAGCGTTCAGCAGTTTAGTCATGACAATCATAATTTTTTTGTTTATGTACCCTGCTACTGTGAGGCACTGAAGTTCAGCAGCAATTCGCAGAGGGTGGCTGGTTGGAATCAAGTGTTTCAGAGCCATTTTTTCCTCTAATCCAGTTTGTAGTTGTGCTGTGGCCAAGTAAACAGAACTAAAAGTACCTGTAAACAAGGAAGAAAAACACTGTCTTTAACATTTTTAATTAGGTCAATGCAGCTTTTTACAGAAGTGATGTAACTGTTCACAATCCTGCAGTGTACTTGATACTACATCAAAAGCAGATTCTAAAAGAGAAAAATCCAGTTCCTTTTTTCTACTACTGAATTCCGTGATCTTGTATACAAGTTTTTTATGTCAGTAAAAATGCAAATATAACACTGTCTAACTTGCCTGGGACACAGAGCTCTTTGAATGTAAATTTCCTATCTTTGATTTGCTTTCTTGTTCAGGTAGCTTACTTTCATCTGACATCCAACTCCTCTCTCTACAATGTAAGAGGACTATATAATGCTAATGTGGAAGGCACTGCCTTTGCTATTCAAAGCACTTCTGAAATTGCTACATTTTTTCTTAATTCTGTACCTTATCTATACAGTAAGGCTTCTCACATGATGTGTGACTCCTATTGTTTGTTTTCCCAGAGCATTAGCACAAAGAATGTGACAGATTCATCTGAGAAAGGGATTTTTCAGGCTTCACAATAAACTTACCCATCCATTTAATTTTAAGGATATCCTAATATACCTCTTAGGAGGTTAATTCAGAACTGAGATATCTGAATACACAAGTTGAAGTGTTCTTCCATACAAATAAAGAATACAAATTACTTTTAATTACATTTTAAGTATTGTGTCTGCATCATGCTAGTTCAAGAGACTGAGTAAACACATACACAAAAAGGCCAGCAAAAACTCTGAAATACTTTTTGCACTCATTAAAAAAAATAAAAACCTAGAGACCCATGCCTTCAATATAATTGATTCAGCAACAAGAGTTACCAAGCTGACTTAAGACATTATTTTTGGTGGTGAGAACTGCTAAAATGAAAGTGATTCCAGAGTGGAATCCTAAGTTGAAGCTTGTTTTCTCATAATGCTGCCAAACTGCAAGTGGTATTTTTGAAAAGCATTGTTTGCTCCCAAGAGTAAAATAAATAGACTTCTCACGTAAAGGAGAAAAAGAACGGAATGTTAAGACTTATTTACTTGAATCTACCTCAAAAATTTTTAATTGTCAAAATCGCAGTGTTGTTTTAAAAGGCTTTAATATACTAGATTTTCAAGAAAATAGCTTGAAAATGTTCCTAATTAACACATCTATGTGCTCAGCTATCAGAATTCCTACAGAGACCAAGTAGTAAGTCTAAAAGGAATTTGGATTAAACTGTATATATTGGGATCTTAGATTTATACTTTTTAAATTAGAAATGCCAAAAGAAATCTAAGTCTAAGCAAGCTAAAATGAAACATTTACCTTCTCCAATTTTTTCCTTAATTTTGAACACATTTACAAGCTGTGGCACCGCTTCATAAAGTTTTTCAATATCTTTTTTTATTCCTGTGGTGGAAAGAACAGGGAAAATAAGTTAGGAACTTTATTACTTGATTCAATATCTGATGTATATTTGAGATCACAAATTACACTTCAGTTCACAGGACTATGAAATCACATATACACAGGAAAACACAGCACAAAGGTATCTTATCCCTGCTGACATTACCATCTGCATACTTGACATTGTTAGTCATCCCACTCCCTTATAAGCTGCAGCATTTAAAAAATTATTTTTTACTCATCTGATACCTAGGAGATCCTGAGAGGGCAAAAGCCTTCTGATTAGTACAACATCTACAGCTCATTGCCAAATGTTTACATGAGATTTGCAATATCAATTTCACACAGGACAAAACTGTAATAGTTGTTTCTGTAAGCACAGGTGCATATCCATCAGATGCATATCAAAAATGCAGAAGAGGAATTATTTTTATATACTTTTAAGATCAATAATGCAATCTTTCACACTTTCTTAAAATAGTAAACATCAAAACCCATGTTTGGTCTGCATTTAAGTTGCTGCACTTTGTGCTGCAATCACTAGATGGCACGACAAGGATGCTATACTGTATTATTTTAAAAAAATCACGTAGTCTTCCATTCAGTTTACAAATTCTTGTATTTTAAGTATTTTCTATACCCTGCATAAGAATTCACTTCTTTTGAAGCTATCAAGTATGTAGAGGCTGTGACTAATTTCTCTGAAGTAGGGGTAAGGAATATTTTATTATATAGAACTAAGCACAAACTGGCATTTGAAAAGTCAATCAAATAGAAAAATAAGTGTACATTTTTCATTCTAAAAATAAATAATGAATTAATGACAGTTTTTGGGTTGTTTTGTGCCACTAGTCTAACAGCCCTAAGGTATATGCTAAGAATCATGGAAAGCTCCCTCAACAGCTTCTGTAGAATCTGCCAAATACTCCATTTTGTCTGACACTGAATTCAGATTCCACCCTGAACAGAGTTCAGTGCTGTCAGAGCACTTCCAGCAAGGTGACAGGCTGCAGTGCCTACCCAAGGCACTGGAAGGGTTTAGGAAATCAACAGAGCTGCCTGTGTGAAAGATCCTGAGAAGTGCTAGAAAAAGTCAGTGACTGTCCTTGTTGATAGACAGCAGTACAAACATCACCTAGTCTCTTCTCAGGGCCCAAATACCCAGTTGGGTTTGTGCACTTGTTTGGTCAGAGTTTTATTCTCCAGGGCTAGCTTTTTTGAATTCTAGTATCCTCTTATAATAACATATTCTATAGTAAATAAATAGTAAGTTTAGCAAATTGTGACAAACTGTAACACATAAAAAGCAGGAATAAACTTAAAATCAAAAGCCACCTCAAATGTTTTCATTTCATTAATTCTTTATACACCAGGACCATATACGGACAGGCTTATAATCTATATAGAAACTTCCTGAAGTGATGAAGCAGCATGCCAGCAACAAAACATAATGTTAACAATTCCTATTTCAGCGCATACCTGAAAGCTTGCTGTTCTGCTCAAGCTTCCTGTGGAAGTCTTCAGCCTGATGAGGGTGCTGTTCATCACGGTGAGACTTCAACATCGTCTCCATCACAAAACAAATCTCAAGTAAAAAATCCAAGACTTCGAGGGCCACTTCTGGACACCTGGGGGAGCAAGCATATCTGGTAAGACACTTCCTGGCCCTGTACTCAGTCCTTAAGATGAGATTTGGGGAGTCTGAGGAGCTCCTCTGTGTTACCTAAAACAACAAAGTGTCATCCATTATCCCAGAGAAATACCAAACCAGTAAACGCACTCTATCTCTAGTAAAAGGGAAGAGGAGTGAAGGGAAGAAAGACTGCAAGATAAGCTTAGATAATGATTTTCTTTCATCTTTCACATTTCCTCATTCATATTAAAGCATTGTCTTTCCCCTGAAGTTTGCTTTGAAAGGCAAGGAACTGATGCACACAGAAATAGCTGCATTGCACACTGCAACAGCTGTAGAAAGACAGAAAACCTGAAAGAAATTATAAGAGAAAAAAATATCTTCTCAATACAAGAGACTTCTCTCCCTCCTAGATAATCTCAAAAAAAGGCATAATTATTTGTTGTCCTCCCACCATAACAAGAAAAAATAACATAGATTTATTTTTAAGTGCTTCTTCCCAAATATTGGGAATACTACATAAAATTGCAAATTAGTAAATTTACAGTTAATACCATACAATCAAAAAACCCCCAATAATTCTATTTCATGAGTGAAAGAGTGGCAGGAAGCCCTGGGGCAGAATAATGGGTGATAAGTGAGCCTGGAAGCATCACCTCTGACAGTTCCCCACACTAGTTCCATTCAAAAATCTTCCTTGCTTGTTACTTTGTCAAACCTTCAAAGTTCTGGATGAACTTTTCTACACAGGGGAAACATATTCTGGAAAACTTCCAATGAAAGGATTCATCTCTTTCAGCTATGAGCTGGAAATACATTTTGTCCCCAAAGAATTCGAGCTACCTTTAGTCTGTCATCCATGTGTAACAGAACAGGGACAAGCAACAGCCTCCTTTTTTGACAGAGCTTTGCTGGAGAGTGGGACTTGGAAACTACTGGAATGAGATTAGAGAGGTTTCTAGTCTCTTAGAGACAGACACTCCCTCTGCCAGTGTTGAGCAGGCAGATGAGCCTGCTCCAAACCTGTAACAGCAGGGCCTCACCGGCAGCACAAAGAGTGCAAGCTAATACGGATACCGATACAGTAAATCCGTCTGTTCCAGGACAGGCAACAGCCGTCCCGCCTCCAGCACTTCAGTTCGCACCGGTGTTGTCACCGCTGCCAGACCGAGGGGAGCACCCGGGGCTCGGCACCGCCTCTGCGGGACAGCCCCTGACGGCGAGGCCGCGGCCCGAGCGCCCGTCCCAGGGTTCGCCACCGGCCGCGGGACTCACGGGCGGGCGCAGCGGGAGAACACGGGACGGGCCCTTCAGCTGCGGCCGCGGGGTCCCCGCTCAGCACCGCAGGGGAACGGCCTCCGCGGGGACCGGCCGGCAGCGGAGGGGCGGGGACGCGCGGAGCGGGTCCCCCACAGGCAGAGGCCGCGTCAGGGCGGGTCGGGCCGGGCCCCGTCCCCGCGGAGGGGCCGCGCCAGCCCCGGGGCCGCCATGGACGGGCCGCGGGGGGGGGGGGCGGGGGGGTGCAGGCGGGGTCGCGCGGGCGGAGGGGCTCGCGCGTGGCGGACACTCACGCGGGACAGTGGCGCGCGCCGCCCCGGCGTTTTGCTGCTGCCGCCTTTCGCCGCGCGCGCGCGCCGCCGCCAATCCCGGCCCTCGGCGGAAGCCGCGGCCCCGGCAATGGCGGCGCCGCGCGGGGAAAGACGTGCTACGATTGGCCGGGCGCCGGGGAAGGGCCCGCCCACAGCGGCGCGGCGGGTTCGAAGCGGGGGCGGGGCCCGGCGCGGGTCAGCGGTGCCGCCCCCCAGGCCCGGCACCGCCGGGGCGGGTGTTTTACTGGTGTTCGTGCCCCCTGCAACAGTCTTCGGCCCTTAGATTTTCTTTTTTGCTTGTGGTTATTGCGAAATAATTACTGTCCCCAATAAGATCTCATTAGCTCCGCTGTGAGTTCAGTCAAATAGCCCAGAGGCCGTGGAGCGGCCTCGCTCACGCCGTAATAACGAGGAACAGCTTGGCTTGCGGCTTTGCCTTATTACCTGATTACACAAGAAGAAGGATCGCACTGAACATAAATTGAATTTGCATCTTGGCTCTGGTCTCCGCTGTAACCACTGACTAGCAATGAGCAGGAGTAGAAAATTTAGTGGAATAATGTTTTGCTGATATTTGAAGTAGCTGGATTTTACCAAAACCAATGCAGTTGCCTGTCTGCAAATAAAAGAATTAGCACTTTTTGTCTTTTATCCACTTTGATCAATTTTTAAGGTAAAATAACATTGCTCTTGTTAAAGAGTAGCTCCCCTGCACGCGCTGTTGCATAGATCTCTTGTTTATTAGAATATGAACTAAAACACTTGTTTATTGCATACTTCAGGTAGGGATCTGTAACTGCAGCCCTTAGTAAATAACAACCAAACCTGAGGTTGACAAAATTTCCAAGGCAACATTCTAATGTGACTTTACATTATAACAAGCTGTGCTTAGGCTAACAAATTGTTAAAAGCAGAAACAGGTTCCACCACTTTTGCTAATTTGCGTTTCGTATCATACAGTCTAAAAGGAGGGGGCAGAATCAAGTTGCTGAGCTGCTTTGGTGGTTTTCAGTGGTGAGGTTTGATGTGTGCGGGGTTTTTCCCAACAGTTGTTCTAATTTACACTTCCTGTTTAGGGCTCTAATAAGCCAGGGCAGCGGTTTGACATTAAGCAAAGTTAAGTATGCTAGCTCAATAATTTCAGTTAAGGGTGACAGTATTTAAAAGCAGATTATATTAAACATGAATTAAATGAGGGATAATGACAAAATAACATAGGTCAAATTCTGTTCTTTCTTGCCTCTCCTCTGTTTAAGGCGGAAGTTCAGTCAAATTGACTATGACTCTCCTCATATGAATGTCTTCTCAAAAGTCACTTCTTCATCAATGTCTATCTCCATGTACATCTTCATGGGAGAGTGACAGATTAGGTGTACCTTTTCCACTGTATTTCCTCAGTATTTGCTTAAATATCTCCAGCTTATTTTTGCTTTATTTTGAATTAATGTAGAATAGGCAAAGACACAGCTGATTTGCTTCTGTACAACTTCTGTGCCTTTCCTACAGTAGGAGACACTCCTTTCCTGTTGGCTTGGATTAGCAGAAACTCCTTCACTCTTGGGGCAAAGAAGGCTCTACCTTATCATTCAACACTGAGCTCCAGTTCTAACAATGCACCACGGTAGGAACTTCTCAGAAGGAAAGAGAAGAAATTGCATCAACAGAATATGACAAACAAAGCAGAACATCTAATGCTCTGTGAGCCTAACTGCTGCATTGTCTTGTGGCTTTATCTCTAGGTTGGATATGAAGGATGAGAAGCCAAATGACAATACAGGCCCATGCAGAACATTCCTTATGGCTGACAAGCCATCACCAAAGCCCACCTTTGGGAGCTTGCCCAGAAAGGATCCAAACATTGCTGTGTGATTGCATCCACTGCTGCCAGAATCTGCAGCTGAATCAAACTTTTTGTATCTACTGACAGGCCTAAAAGAATCCATGCTGACATTAGAGCACATCTATTAACCTCTTCCTAGGTCAATTAAACTAGAAGCCTCCGTGTGTTTGTACTGTCTTCCAGCCTTGAAAAACCGATAAGCAAAGTCCAGGAAGGTAACTGATGAACTTATCCAGCACAAACAGAGGTAGGAGATCCTTAACATCCCCTTGATGCCAAGAACATCTGTTCATAAATTAGAAACCAGAAACTACTTGGAAATGAGCAAATAAAAGTATATTTAATGGCAGTATTAAAAATATATATACAAATATACATATATACAAAATTCAATTTCAATGACAGTAGAGACTATTAAATGTACCATTCAGTTTTCATTAGCCTGAATGACACATGCTTTCCAACTTTTAATTACTCTTTCTGTTAGCAATATGATTCTATGGCAAAATTTTGCTCTCTTTGGCACCAGGTTGAGACAAATCTCTTCACGCTATTGTGCCCTTTAGGAATACTGTCAAATTCAATCATTCAGGACTCATGAGTCTTGCACTAACATGAAGAGATTGATTTGAAAACCATGGCACTAAGATCCTTTTTTTTGTTTTTCATTTTCCATTTCCATTCCTTAACCAGGAAAGCTGAGATTGCCAGCTTTGCTCTCACATGCAAATGAGCACGGCCCTAGAATAATGCTCTTGGATGTGGCAGTGACTGTGTCTGCCAGCATTTTCTGATCAGTTATATCTGAAATATCAAGAATTATTGTGGTGTCAGAAAACATACCACAATATAGCAGTCTCTACGGCCTATTTAAAGGCAGTTAAAAATAGATATAAAAATTATTTCAGGCAAAGATACAGAGGAATTCTTGACCTTTTATAAACTGGATCTCATTCAAACAATGTACGTTTTAATAAAATCTATCAATGTATACCTAATAAGGAATGTAGGCTCTCCTACACAATGGAGAAGTTTAAAAAGGACAAGCTGAGTAAGCTGATGAGTTTGCTGTAGCAGAAAGGGTTTGTGCAAACCTTGACTTATAGACAGAGCACAGCTGTTAATGCTGACAATTTTTACCTGTATGTGCAAAGTTATGATGGTGGTCGAGCCAGTTCTGATACTCATATTGCAAGATGGATACTGGAAAAAATGAAGTGAGTATAGAGAAGAGCTATGGAATGATCTAAAATCAGAGAAAATGCCATGTAATTGAAGAACTAAAAATCTTAAACTACTCACTGAACCAAAGAGATTGAAAGGTAAGTTGATAACAATGTATACATATATGCACAGGGAAAATATTGAATATAAGGGCCACTTGAACCTACCAGAGTTAAATAAGAAGGAGTTATGTCTAGCAGCTGGAATTAAGCAAAATAAAATAGTGTACTGTTCAGTACCTAGTTCAGTACCACTGATAACAAATAATCCTTGGAATAAACAAGGGCTGTGGTTGATTCCTTGGCTCTCAGTGTCTTCAAATTGAGACTCAATGCCTCCCTGAAAAATGCAGGCTATCCAAACACAGGCTATGTTGTGTTGAAGTCCAGCAGGCTCAGTTCATGGTTAAATAACAGTTGCCTGTAATTTACAGGAGATAAGACTATATACTCCCATAGTCTCTCTTCTTTAGACTTTATAGATAAATTTCTGTGATTTATAAACTTTCCAAAACCTCTATAAATAATTCTTTTCCTCTTATCACCCCAAGTTTAGCTTTCCTTTTAATGTATGCCTCATCTGTATTTGACTATCCTGTCCTACTTGCACAGCACTGTGGCTGGAAAAATACCACTGACAGGTTATGGGAAGATGGGCACACACTTCTTGTCCCAGCTCCTGAGACTGCACAACATCTCTCAGAGAAGTTTCTTAAGTAGTGCCCGTGGCCTTCACCTTTATTTGACCTCTAGGAGAATGCATTTCATCCAGCTCAGTTCTCCCTATAGCTGCTCTTTTTCAACCTTTAGAAGAAAATACACAAAATCAGAGCTTTCCTCAGAAGTAAAAATCCATTTACAGTAATTTAAGTATTCTTATATTTGCTGCAGCTTTAGTGATTATTTACAGCCTAACAGGAATATTGGGCTTGGCCAAACTGGTACCTGCATAACTGGCAAAACTGGCATCTTATGTGCATTAGCTGTGTGCTTTTCCTTTCCTGCTGTTGTATATTGCCTCTTTGAATGTAGACCTACAGTTTTCTTTGTTATTTGTTATATTTCACCAACACACAAGGTTCTTCTCATGGTCAAATACGAGATTCTGGTCTCCTAATAGATATGTAGATAACACTGTGCTTTTGCTCCACTAGCTGACATAAGGCTGAATCTGGTAACCTCACTTACTGAAAAATTGTGTTGTCATTGGGAATACTCACACATGTAAAATGAGCAGGACTTGGCCCTTTGGTCATATTTTTGTAATAAAAGATAAAATGAGATTTTTAGGAAACTGCAACTTATGACCATAATATTTATGAGGCTGTCAGGACTGCACTGTAAAAATTCATATTATTTAATTCTTCACTCTG